CATCATAAACCCCAGTTCACACAGGAAGACGCCAAAGCTTAAGGACACATGGTGGCATGCTCCTCATCCCTACTTTCCTCCCTTCCTCTGAGGGCGGCTGCCCTCCCACCCCCGAGGCATGCTTCCCATTCCCACAAAACCCACGACTGCTCATGTTCCAAGCACGGCTTTCCTCCTCGGCCCTTCCCTACTGTCACCACCACATATAATCCATCACCAGACCTACTGACTGTGCCTCCAAAAACATCTCAAATCTTTCCCCACATTTCTCCATCTCCTCAGTCAGCTCCAGCCTGATCCAGGCCACCATTTCTCCTACCTGGACCATGCCAATAGCCAACTAACCAACCCAGCTGCTCACTCCATCCACCCTGATCTTCAAAGAGCATCAAGGCGATCTTCAACTACTGCAAATCTAATCACGTGTCACTCTGCACCTAAAACCCTTCAGTGACTTTCCACGGTCTTTAAGGAGGCCTTCCCTTGGCCTGTGAGGCTTGAGTGATCTGGCTCCTGACTATCCTGTGGCCTTACTTGCACAACTCTTCCCCTTCTTCTTTGCATCCAGAACCCTGGCTTTCTTTCTGTTCCTTTCTGTTCCTTAAATATGTCCAGTAAGGCCTTCCTATCTCTCAAAGCCTTCAGTTTACTGGGCTTCCAGACCTCTTCATGTTTTCCATTCCAGTTGTCGCTCAGAGGCCAGGGTCCCCGGCCACCCAATCCAAATAAGATTCTCATGACTGCCCATGTATTCTTCCCTCAGGAGGACCTGGCGCGCTGTAGTGAGGGATGATTTGTGTGGTGATGTGTTTACTGTCCCCTCTTCACTAGACTGCACTCTGTGGTGAGGGACAAAGCATGTATAGTTTCTCCACTGCTGTATCTCTAGGACAGTGCCTGGTACACGGTTGGTGCTCAATAGGTGTTTGCCGAATAGATACAAGAATGAACAAATTCATGCAGTCAGAAAGTGGCCAAGCCAACAGTCATGCCCAGGTAACTCCAACACCCCACCAATCATAACACATCTTCCTAGGTTTTAGACACCGTCCTAGGGTCTAAACTCACTCATGTTTTTCTGTGGTTGTTTAAAAAAATCTTCTGGACGTAAAAATAATACATCTTCATAACAAAAGAAAAGAAAAGAAAAGAACAATGGACAATATGGATGTGTAAGGAAAAGCAAACTTGCAGAATTTTGCCCTTGCCCACTACTAGAAATATTTTGGATATCTCTTTCAACCCTTTAATTTGTGAAATTTATAAATATTTGTATATGTTTGTCCCGCTTTTTAACATTATAGCACAACTATTTCTCCATGGATTGTAAACTCTTCAAAAAGTAAATTAAAATTAGTCAGGCATGGTGGCGCATGCCTGTAATCCCAGCTACTCAGGACACAGACAGGAGAATCGCTGGAAGCTAGGAGGCAGAGGTTGCAGTGAGCCAAGATTGTGCCATTGCACTCCACCCGGGGTGACAGAGCGAGACTTTGTCTCAAAAACAAACAAACAAAAAAGTAAATTAAAAATAATTTTCTTCTCAATATGCATTAAAGAACAGAAAATAATTTAATAGAAAGATGCAGATCTCCACTCAGATTAAGAACATTAGCTAACATTTTGCCATATTTACTTCAACTCTTCTCTTAAAAAAAATCATAAAGATACAGTTTATGCCTCACCTCCTATTCTTGTCCCTCTATCCAACCTTCCTTCCCAGAAGTAACCACTATTTTGAAGTTGGTATACATCATTTGCATGGTTGTTTTATATTTTTCTACATAGCTATATCCTTAAATATTGTGATCTTTTTAGTTTGTTTTAAAGACTTACACAAATAGAATCATTCACATATGCTTTTTTTTTTTTTTTTGCAAGTTGCTCTTTACACTTATCATTGTTTTCGAAATTTATCTGAGCTGGTAGTTACAGATTTAGTTCAGTTATTTTCATTTTAACTGTGCATAGTATCCCGTTATATATAAATCGCACTTCACTTACCCATGTCCCTTTTGATGGATAGTTATTTAATAATATCATTGCTGCTGTTTTATTATACAACAATTGAAAATATATAATATTATGCAACAACAATACTAATATGGTTGCCATTATAGACAGTATTGCAATGAAAGTCTTTGAACATGTCTCCTTGTACAAACTGGTATTTGTACAGGGTGATTCCTAGGAATATGTGCATCATGCATGTATATGCAAGCATGTTTACTTTCAGTAGGTATGGCCAAATATCTCTCCAATGACTAGACATTTATATTCTCATCAACAGATATGAATTTGCTTCACTATATCTTACCTTTAGACTCTTGCCATTCTCATGAGTACATTCAATTAGTTTGCATTTCCCTGACTACTAGTGAGACGGAGCAGTAGCGCTTTATGTTGATTACCCATTTAAGTTGCCTCTTCTGTGAATTGTCTATATACATTCTTTCTCTGTTTTGTTCTTTGGTTGTTTGCCTTTTCCTTATTGATTTGCAAGTATTCTTTGTGTATTATTTTGTTTTTCTGATTCTTTGTTGTTACGTGCATTGGAAGTATCTTCTTCCAGAAGTCTGTGGTGTGTCTCTTTACTTTGTTTATGGTGTCTTTTGTTATACAAATTTATTTATAATGGCTGCCTAATTGCCTATTATGAAGATTAAACAATTTACTTAACCTGCATTCTATTATCAGATCCATAGATTGTTTCTAATTTGTCATTATTTTATATAGCATTGCTATGAACATCTTTATGCATGAGTCTTTGTCTGTCTCTAATTATTTTCTCAAATTAGATTATTAGAATGGGAATTCCTGGTCAAAGAGTATAGGCATTTTTGAGACGCCTGAGTACTGTTTTGAGTACTGCCAGGATACTTTTCAGAAAGGCTACTTGCATATAACTTCAGCAATCTGTGAGAGTCTCTGTCTTACTCCAGCATTGCAGGTACTTAATAGTATTATAATGTTGAAAGAGCTTCCTAATTTGAAGACAAAAAATGGTATCTCTTGTTTCAACATGTACTGTTTGGACTACCATTGAAATAGAAAAATAATTCTAATGTTTATCAGATATTTATATTTCCTCCTTTGTGTACTATCTGCTTCATATCTTTTCCCTGGTTAGTACAGAAGAGTTTAAGTACTCAGGCCCAAGAGCCAGATGGACTGCATTCAAATCCCAGCTTCGCCACTTATTAGTTGTGCCGCTTCAGGCAAGTTACTTAGCTTTTCTATATCTCAGTTCTCTCGTCTGTTAAATGGGGACAGTAACACCTTATTAGAGTTGTTTACAAGGGTTAAATGAGTAAGTAGAGTATATGCAAAATACTCAGAATCGTGCCTGGCACATAGTACTACAGAAATGTTTGTAATTGTTGTTGTTACCTATTAAGAGCTTTGTGGTTTGAAAGACTTTGATTTTAAGAATATAAGTTCTTTCTCTGCTATATTTAGCATTACTATTTTTTTCTCAGTTTGACTTAAAATTTTGTTTTCAGTCTTTTGATAAGTGTATGGTTCTACGCAGTAAAAACTTCTTTTTGATATTTCAATAATTTGAATTTTTAAATCTTCTTTACATTTAACTCATTATCCATTGAAAACTTGTTTTGCAGACCACTCTATCAAGAGGGTGGCTGACTGGGCCCCAGAATTACCCTTCCCTTCCCTTTGCCTTAGTAGGAAGGCAATCACTGGCCAAAAGCTTGGGTTTAGGGAAACACAGATGTCTGCCTGTTTGGCCCACAAACGCGGAAGCGCATACAGAGAGGATGAACCCCAGGCCACATCTCCTACAGTTAAGCAGGAGTTCCAGCCAGGTTGAGCTGAGGCACAACGTAGGGAGAGTGGAAGAGGCTTGGTACCTTTGGGCCTAGTTTGGCACCTGGTATGGGCTTTGTGCCCGGCCCTGGTGAGTGGCACCAGCTGACCGTCAGCAGGGATGGGGGTGGGAGGAAGGCAGAGCTGACCTACCAGCAGGACACAGCACAGTGGGAAGCTGGCAGGCCCCTCTCCTCCAGCCAAAGGGAACGCACTCTGAGGAAGCTACGCCTGGGACCGGGTCAGCCAAAGGCCTAGAGCCAGGATTTTCATGCCCACTGGGTCGAGAAGCCTGGTAAAGGCCCAGTGATATCCCCCCACAGTACTTCCAAAGAAAGCTTGACTTTGGGTTAGGTGCTCTGTGTACTTTATCTCATTTAATTCTAACAACCATGTGAGGCAGCCACAATTTACTGATTATTCTCATTTTTCAGAGAATAAAACAGAGGCTCTAGAATCCAGGCAGGATGGCCCCAGAATCTGTGCTAAAGTCTGCATGTTCTATCCCAGGGCTTGCCAAGATTATTCTATAAAGGGCAGATAGGATATATTTTAGGTTTGAGGGCCATGTTAGGTCTCTGTCATGTATTCTTTTTGATAACCCTTTAAAAACCATTCTTAGCTTGCAGCATCACACAAAAAGAGGCTGCAAGTCAAATCTGGTCATAGTTTGCCAACCCCTGCTGCACACATATTACAGACTATGGCATACGGACTCTGCTATCCTGTCCTGGGTCCCACTTTACCACACAACCGTGTGACAATGGTACGTAGGTCCCCACCGACTTCACAGGGTTGCCAGGAGGAGGAGCAATGCCCCAGCACCATGCCTGACACAGCGACAGCTCAAATCCATGTGGAAAGCAGACCATAGAAAGAGAAGGAAAAGGCAAGGAAAGCCACACCAGTGGCAAACAGCACAAAGGAGATGGGGGGGGGCAGCAGCAGATGAGAAGGTCTACAGTAGAATGATAGGAAGTTTGGGGTTTCCAGACACTTTAAACAAGCCTATAGAAAAAAAAAAAAAAGCCAGGATGCTGAACTCAGAAAGCAAAGGATTGGTTATCCCCTTAACAGAAGGACTTGCAGCAGGACACCTTTCAGTAATAAGCTCCTCTAGCATTTTAGAATAGGTTTCATTCACCCCCTAACCTCACTTAGGGCCACCTTTTCAGGGGCACAATGAAGCTGGCAAGGCCCTCCAGACTCAGCAAGATGCTACTGTGCAGGCTGTTCTCACACAGAAGTAAGAGGAAGGAGAGTGGCCCACAGAAAGCCTCTCCCTAAGCTACACGGAACATGGAATGTCCAGTTTTCAAAACAGGTAAGTTAGAGGATGATTCCTGGCTTTACAGAGGGCTCTCTGCAGCGTGCTTGGCGCTTGTCATGTCCTTGAAGACACTGGAATTCCACCTGGTTTACTGGTCCCGGGGCACATGGCTGAGCCTTGGGTGGAGAGCCCCATATTTACAGAGGGATTCCCTAGGCCCTTGGAGTTCAGGCCCCCTGCTCACAGGGCTCAATCTAGGCTGTGACGAGTGATGGAGCTCACAGCCCACCACACTTGTGTCAGCCTAAGAGCCCTGCAAGCAACGGAACCTCGGGACTGGCAGGGTCCCTGGCACAAGCTGGGCACAATACCCAAATCTGTTCGGGTCTGTGGCACCTGCCTGAGCTTCTTGGCAACTAAGTCCTCACAGGGCCGTATGGTGCTGGGACTGCAGCCCAGTGCTAGGGAGGGGGCAGCATTTCTGCTGGAGGACCTTGCCAAGGAGGAATAAACACCTGAGCATGTGTGCAGAGCCTCCTGGTTGTCTCCTGAATCACAGAATCAAGACATTTCCCAACCTTTCTTGCAGCTAGGTGTGATCATGAGGGTCAAGCTGAAATGTTCTGTAACTGTTTATGGGACTTTTCCTTAAAAGACAGATGGCTACACTCTCTGCTCCTTCTTCTTTGTCCCTCCTTCATCCTGTCACCAGGAACGTGGATGTGATAGCTGGAGTTGTAGCCACTACCTCTGACCATGAGGATGAGGGCTGCAACCTAGGGATGGTGCTTCTCAGTTTCATAAAAATGTCACCTTAATTTCCACAGCAACCCTCGGAGGTATTACTACTTCCATTTTACAGATGAAGAACCAGGCTCAAGAGGTAAAATAACTTTCTACAGTCACACAGCTATTCTAGTCAGGACTAGAATCCAGGACTCCCAAATCTCAGGCTCCTTCGCTAGTTCCAAACCATGTGAAAATGGTAATACAATCATTGAATACTTGGTATATGCCAGACCCTGTGATAAGCACTTTGCAAGTATTCATTCACTGAATCCTCACAACAAACCTGTGAAGTGCCATCTAATATTATCCCCATTTTGCAGAGTGATGACGTGAACCGTGCAAGGTAACAAGAGGCAGAGCTGGATTCGAACCCAGACAGTCTGGCTCCAGGCCCTCTTCTATTTAATATTATACTGTTCTCTCTAGCAAAAACACTGCTTCCCAGGTAGTTAAGAAGAGGTACAGAGTAACAGGCCACCTATGGGAACACAGGAAGTAATGGAAGGCAACTCCAGCTGGCGAGAGAAAGACACTATGCAGAGAAGCAGAAATCCCCCTGAGCCCTGTGATCACTGGGGCTGAAGCCCTGCCCCCTTCTGCATCTGCTGGGCAGTGGGAAGAGGAGGGAGAGATGGGCACAAGAAGTTAGGTAGCCAATGGTCCATGTTGTCTCCTCCTGTCCAAGAGCACGCATAGGCCTAGACCAACAGTCAGGACTGCTCTTCTGCACTACCAGGCTGATGGAGAGGAGGGGTGAGGTTTGAGCACCCTCATGGAGAGGAGGGCTCTGGATTCTGGTAGATGTCAGGAAGGATGGGGTGGGCCTTGGAGCGGGGTAAATTTGGGAGACACTTCTGAGTGTTTAGCCACCCAAGCTCATAGGGATCTCATCCTTTTGGCAGCAACTGGTGGAATGGTCCCTAGGGTCCTGCTGTGAGGAACGGGGAATGAGGAATCCCAGAAGTGGGACCTCCTGAAGTGCTTTGGGTCTAGATGGCAATAGCAGGATGGGAAAAGGGGATCAGGTCCTCAGCTCCCTTGCCCGGACAATTACAACTACTACTTTATCCTTTACGCTGAGGCTGCTGGCCTGGGTGGGAGAAATCAGGCAGAAACGCAGCCTGGACTAGGTCCTCCCATGGAAAATTTCCTGTCTCCACAGCACCTATGAGACCAAGTCCAGACCCCTTAGCTGGCTCCCAAGGCCCCTCAGTAGTCTGTTCATCTTGGCATCATCACTCCTGTTCCCAACTCAGTGTTCCAGCCCCACAGGCTTACTATCAGCTCCCTGAATTCACCCAGGCTGTTCACATTGCCATGCTCTTGCCCAACCTGAGTCCATTTATTTCATCATGTGGGTGCCTTTTCTGGTTTAGGACTTGTGCTGCACACAAGACCCAGAGAAGAGGAAAATTCAGTTTGTGCCCTCAGGGTCCCCATCCACTGAGGAAGACAGCCGTGGGAAAAGACAATTATGGCAAATGACGGCATGTATACACAAAGGGGCATGGACAGTAGTGTTTACTGTAGCACCATTTGCAACTGCGAAAGACTGGGGGGCCCCAAGAATATTCATCAATAGAAGATTATTTCAAAAAGCCAGAGCCCCCTTCAGGCCAGGGTCCTTACACATTAAAACTTCTTTTTAACATAAAGTTATGTAAAGCCCCTATATATTTTTATATGTACAAATCAAACTGAGAACAGTCTCTGAGGAAGAGAGGGGGAATGGGGGAAGGGTGACCCTCATTTTCTGTTTTGTTCAAATATTTTAAAAAGCCATAACACAGATGATGATTTAAAAAATAATAATATTTCTAAGGGACAGAGGGGTAGCATAGAGGAGAGGATGACCTAGGAGACACTGACCCAGGAGGCCATGCAGAGAATGGCCATGAGAATGGCTATGAGGATGATGGTCCTATTGGGCTGGGCAGAGGACACAGACACTGTCAGTGTTGGGCCCTGCTATGGTTTAAGTGTGTCCCCAAAAGCACAGGTGTTGGAAACTTAATCCCCAGTGCAACAGTGTTGAGAACCGGGACCTTTAAGAGAGAAGTAGGTCATGGGGACTCTGCCTTCATGAATGGATGAATGCTGCCACTGTGAGAATGGGCTAATTATGGTGGAGTTTGGTCTCTTTTTCTCTCTGTCTTGAATGTTTGCTTGCCCTTTTGCCATGTTACGATGCAGCAAGAAGGTCTTCCCCAGATGCGGCCCTGTGATCTTGGACTTCCCAGCCTCCAGAACCATTTATTGAGCTAAATAAACCTCTTTCTTTAGAAATTACCCAGTCTGTGGTATTCTGTTATAGCAGCAAAATATGGACTAAGACAGGCCCTTTCAGGAATTAGTCCATCCATCACTCTCCAGGGCCAAGGATACCCTCGAGGCAGGAGCTGAGGCAGCAGGAAGAAGCTATTCCAGAATCAAGAAGTGGGGCTGTTCACCCACAGAATTACTCTGGGGATGTTTTGGGTTTGTGGCCCACATTGCTTCAGAGAAGGCTGTATGTGGGAAAGCAGACAGGCCTAGGGTCCCCTTCTCACCAAGATCCATAGCAGCCCTGAGAATGAGGTAAGAGAAATAGATGGGTGGGGGGGTGAGGCCAGCAAGGAGGCTGTGGCTGTCCACCAGGTAAGAAAAGGGGAGGGCCTGTGGAAAGAGGGTTTTGGGAAGATAATGTGCAAAATACAGCCAGGATCTGGCCACATCTCACTGGCCCCATCACCCCTCAAGGGCTGCCCAACTGGTCTCTCTGCTGCCTCTGTTTCCCTGTATGTTCTATTCTCCGCACAGCAACTTGAGTGATTGTGTTAAAACCTATGTCAGACAAGGCACTGCATTGTTTAGAATCCTTCAGTGGCTTCTCCTCTTACTCAGAATAAACAACAGCTGGTCTCCAGCTCCTTCTCTGACATCACATTCTATCACGATCCACTCTGTTAACATCACTGACTTTCTTACTGTACCTCAAACACTACTTGTCTCAGGACCTTTGCCCTGCCGTTCCTGCTATCTGGAATGCTCTTGGCCCTGATAGCCACAAGTTCACTCCTTCATGTTGTTCAGGTATTTGTTAAAGTCCCACCTTATTTGAGAGGCCTTCTCTGATAACTCTACATGAAATAGCAGTCTACCCTTACTCCTATCTCTATCTCTTCACCTGCTTTATTTTTCTTCATTTTTTTTACAGTATATTTATTTTATGATCTCTCTCTCCTAACCAAACACAATCTCTTTCAGAGTAGGTACTCTGTTTTGTTTGCTGCTATATCCCAGTCCTTGAAACAGTGCTTGGCATATGTTAGCGCTCAATACTGTTGTGTGAATGGAAGGACAAATGAATGAATGGCTAGTGAGAGAATGGAGCTGCTTGTTCTCTCTTAGAGGCCGAAAGAGAACCCATGGATGTGGGAAGCAGCAGCCATGGGCATGGCGATTGTAGCTCGCTATCAGGAAGAACACTGCAATGCCTGGAAGACTGCTCTGGAACATAGCTGGTGCTCTGTCAGAGGTCCTGAGCTCCCAGGACAGTCCCACAGTGGGCAGAGGCTGGGCTGAGACAAACCAAAAGTCCTTCCAATCCTGGAGAACTTGTTTGGTGGTGTGAGTGGATATGGAAGTGTATAAGAAAGAGAAGGAAGGTGGACACAGAAGAGTAGAATGGGCAGATACACGCTCCCCAGGCTGGCTCCTTCAAACCAGACAAAAGAAAGGTCTTGGTTCAAGTGATAAATAAGTGTGTTGAATTAATGGGTTCTAAGCTGCAAGGCTAGGACTGCTCTGGAACTTCTTCTAGAACCCATTGCTCAAAAGGTCACTCAGTTATCTCTGTCAATCACTTTCCCCTTACATAGGAGGAAATTGAGGCCCACAGTGGGGCAATGCCATGGCAAAGGTCCCCACTGGTCTACCTCCCCACTGCTCTCAACCACTCCCTGGCATCACTGCAGGCACCTCATCTGACAGCAGCCCAGTGAGGCAGGTGTTGGATCAACATTGCATGGAAGAGAAAACTGCATTTGGGTGCGGTTCAGAAACAGCCAAGCTGGGACAGGCAGAGGCCAGCCCTCCCTACCCCCAGCCCCAGGAGTAGGAGGCTGCTGAGGCTGCTGTGGACACATTTCCTCAGTCACCTGCAGTGAGAGCGTGCTGTGGCACGTTGGCTCCAGTGGGTGACTATTCTTAGATCTAGGGAGCTATGATGACAGATTTAGAACTTACAAGGTGGAAACATGTTGGCCTGTTTTATAAACAACTGAAATCCTCCCTACAGACTGCCTTTCTGAATTCTGTGTTCTCTCAGAACTGCTGGCTTTCTGGCTTATTGGCTGCTTTGGGAGATGGGGGAGAAAGAGAAACTAATCCTCTTGAGGGCCTACTATGATCACATATGGTGTTATGGGCTTTTGTATCACCCATCTCATTTAACAGCTCTGGAAAGAAGGTATTTTGGTCACGCTCTGTGGATGAGGAAACAGGCTGGGAGAGGTCCAGAAGCAAGCACACCCTGTGACGTGGTACAAGAACGAGGCCGTGGACCAGCAGGTCTGCTGTGGAGCCTGGTGCTGCCAAAAGAAAGGTGGCCCTGGCAGATGGAGCAGTAAGGGCATGCGCACAGCACCTTCAGATTTGAATCCCTTCAGGTGTTGCTCTCCTGTCCTCTAAGATTTCTTCACTCCTGGTGATACCTCCTCCCTCTGTATGACCTGGTAGCTTGTCCCCGTTGCATACCAGGGCCCCCTCAGCAGGTTCTCAGTTGTCATCATCCCTCTAGAGTATGGTATCCAGAGCTGGCTGAGGTCCAGAGATGAAGAGCCCACCAAGATGCACACACAGTCCCCGAGGCTCTACCTCTGTTAGCTCAGCCTGAGGCCACATTCGCTGCTTTGAAGGCCAAGTCCACTTCCCCTTGCTGAACCTACGGCCTGTATATACTCCTAAATAGTTTCTGGAGGACCTATTCTCCTATCTTTTACCTGGCCTGCCTGCATGCTGGTGTTTTAGACCTGGCTGGAACTTTCAGGTTGTTTCCATTAAAAGTCATCTTATTAAATGAACATGCCAATCTCCGAGGGGCACTAGCGGAGGGGTGGAGGAAGCACCCCTGGGCCCAGGAGCAGCTGCACTGTTGCCATTCCTGAAGCCTGGTCACCACCAGAGCCTCCTTACATTGCTCTCCTCAAGCCTGTTTGGGAATCACCAGTGTGCAGAAGAGGAAGCTAGGGAAATAGGGGAATAGTGGAGGTGGTAGTAACAAGGTCTGCTCTGGAATCCAGTGGCAAGTCCAGAAGAATCCACATGCAGGAAGATCAGGGTACTAGAGTTCACATGGGGACGGATGACACAAACCTGAGATAGAATTCTCCCTAGAGGTTCTAATCACTGAATAAATATTATACCTACTTAGTATCTGGTCTGTGTCTGGTGCTATGCCCAATTCAGTTCAATTCATTTTGTACACATCAACTAGGCTCCCACAAAGTCCAAGTGCTGGGTTGGAGAGCTGAGCATCCATCCCACAGTGACAGTGCAGGGAGATGAGGTCCTGGAAAGATTTGCTCAGAAAGACCAGGCAGTGGCTAATTCCTGAGACGGATCAAACCCCCAAGGGAAGAGAGTCTCTTATCTTTTTATTTCCTAAACAGCAAAATTTTATTAAACTTTATGTCAATAAACATTATTACAGTACAAAATAGGAAAAAACTAATGGGTTAATACTTATAATACATATTAATCAATTTTTTTCCTTTTAAATAGACTATTTTTTAAGAGAAAATATAGGTTCATAGTAAAATTAAGAAGAAAGTATGGACAGTTCCCATAACACTTCCTGCCTCTACTTACTTCACAGCCTTCCCCACCAACATCCTGCACCACTGACACACCATTAGTGCTCAAAGTGGGTGGTTTACATTATGGATGATCTTGGTATTGTACATTTTACGGGTTTTGACAAATGAATAATGACATGGATCCACCTAATTATAATGTCATACTGAATAGTTTTGCTGCCCTAAAAATCCTCTGTGTTTTGCCTACTTATTTATCTTTTCATCTGCCGGAGTTGCAGAATAAATGTTATAGAGTGCCTATAATATTCAAGCAGTTGCAGAGAATACAGCACCAAACAACACACAAGGTCCCTGTCCTCAAGGGGCTTACACTCTAATGGGGGAAACAACAACCAAGTAGGCATACAAGTCAACAGAATGCAGCTAGTAATAACAGTTATACAAAAAACCAGTGATACAATTTAGAAGGGCAGGTAGTCGGGAAGTCCTCCCCAATTATGTGGCCCCTGAGTTGTGACCTGAAGGACAAGAAGGAGCCAGCCATACCTGTGGGAAGAACTTGGCAGGCAGAAGAAATGACAATACAAAGGCTGGAAGAAGGAAGGCATTTTGCCAGTTCCAGATATAGCAAGGAGGATGACTACGTGTGTCTGGGGCCAAGTAAGCCAAGGGAGAGGCAGGCCTTAAAATTGAAGGGGAAGCAGAGCCTTGAGATGCCAGGTGAAGAGTTAGAAGTTTGAGAATGCTGAGAAGCTAGGGAGGGATTTAAGCAGGCAATGACAAATTCTGATTTACATTTGAAAAGGCTGCTCTCTGAAGGCTGGATTACAAAGGCAAAATGCAGGGAGCAGATTTAGGAGGCTACTGCATTGCAGAGGACCAGGCAGTGCATGAAGGTGGCTCGAAGTAGGCTGGTAGCAGTGGGGATGGAGAAAAATGGATAGATTTATAAACTGCTTTGGAGATAGGATTTCTAGGACCTGCTGATAGATTATACACAGAGAGAGATAGGAATTATAACTGATTCCTTGAGCAATGAGTGGATGGTAGTGCTATTTATGAAGTTGAGGAGGCCTGGAGGAGAGAGAGGCTTGGGGGAGAAAATCAAGAGTTCTGTTTTGGACATTTTAAGATGTAAGTGCCTATGAGACATGAATGAATGAATGTATTCCCCAAATACAGACCTCTGGTGAGCCTAAGAGATGATAAACCTGAGACCTGGGAAACCGTGTGAATGACAAATGGTAGGAGCTACCAGGTGAGCAGTGGGCAGCTCAAGAGGTAACATTGTGCTTATGGTTCGATGGGGACTAATTTGGTGCCTTTATCACTCTAAATTATAGCTTCTGTTTTTGTTTTTTCTTGAATGAAGTGCTTGACTGGGATGCATACATACTACATGGGCTAATAAATATAAATTGCCTTTGTGAATGTCCCTACTTCATTAAAAAACACATAATATTTGAAAGGAAAATTACCATTTCAGATAATTATAACCACCGGCCCAAGTTCTCCTACTGGTCCCATTGGAAGTAGCATTCTTCTCTAACCCTGGTGAGCTGCCAGGACTGCTGGGCTGGGAAATCCAGGCACAGAGTTTCTCTCTCAAAGCAGGGTGTCAGCAGGAGCAGTGGGATTCCCAGAGGATGCAGTGTTTGCATGAGACCCTGCAGCCAGACTCTCCTTGGGACATCTAATTCCCAGGTAGTAGGAGGCCACCCCAAAATGAGGCAGCCCTGAAAGACCCTTAAGCATTGGTTCTAAGAATAAATACACAAATGAAGATAAGGAAGCCTGGTGAGTTCCACTGGGCTCCCTCCCTACATGACTATACATGTCTCCACCTGGGACTATTCAGCCTCCTGTGGGCTCAGCCCCAAGTGGCAGATTCCCCTCCCAGATAAGGGGACTAGAAACTTTGAGGCTGAGGCGAGGTGCATTTGTCTCAGAGTGTGAATCCTTCAATGGCATTCTAGCTCAGAAGAAAATACCAAGCCTAGACCTTAGCCTATAAGGTTCTATACCATCTGGTCCCAGCTACCTCTCTGATGCCCATTGCTGCCACTCTCATCCTCACCTCTTCTAATCCACTCGTCTTCAGCCACACTGGTCTCCTTACTCTTCCTCCAACTGGCCAGTCATGCTTCCAGCTTTAGCCTTTGCACCAGCTGTTCCCTCTGCCTGGAACCTTCCTCTCCAGATAACCATATGGCTCCCTCCCTCCCTCCCTTCAATCAGGGCATCATTCAAATGGTACTTTCTTAGAGGGCCTTCCCTGATCACCCAATTTCATCCTTCCATCTCTTTACACTGCTTAATTTTCCTTCCCAGCACTAATACCCTATCATATACTTTTGTTTGTCTGTTTCTCCACCAGAATGAAAAGCTCTATGAGAGCAAACATTTCATTTTATTCAACTGCTGTATTTCCAGCACTTAGAAAAGTTATGGGTATATAAAAGGTGCTCAATAAATATTTATTTTAGCAATGAAGAGCTGTCACTTGCCCCAGGAGGGGCTCATTCCCTTGAGGGGAACCCAAATCAAAGTGCTGGGCAGACCATCCACTGGGATCACCAATCCGAAGCAACTGCTATATTGTGTGTGCACACCCACACATGTGGCAGGGCAGTTAGGGTAGCCCATGCTGAAGGCATTTTGTAGGGCAGCTGCAGCCTCAGTTATAGAGGAAGGAAGTTATTAGAGCTAGGGGTTGAACAGACCACCTCCAGCTCTAGGATCAACCCAATCCTGGCAGGCCTAGCCTAGCCTAGTCCATCTCAGCTCTTCAAATGAGCACCCATCCATCTGTCTGTAGGCTGACCCTCTGCTTCCTGAAATGAAGGAAAGCCAGCTGGGCAGTATATATCTCAAGTCCTCACCCAGTGGGTCAGAGAACTGGGAAAGAGTTGTTGCTGCTCAGTACTTTTGGAGCCAGACAGGCTTGGATTTGATCTTGCCTCTGCCACCTACTGTATGTACTTAATTCTTGGTTTCTTCATCTATAAATAAGGACAACCATCTTTTCCTTGCCTGTTTCTAAACGAACATGTAAAGTGCCCAGCACAGACTCCATCACGTGACACAAGCTCACTGGACACTTGTTCCCTTCCCCATCTTCCCCTCTGCTGCTGGGATTGCCCACATCTCCTGCCCAGGATCTACTTCTCAGCCTTCCTCGATCTAGTCTATCTTGAGGCTAGCTATTAGTAAATCTGGGAAAATCGTCCAATACAGGGGCACATGGAAAAATGGTCTCATCCCTTCTCCTTCTTCCCATCTCCATGGACCCCTTGCATGGAACAAGTAGGTAACATTTCATACAAGTTCTAGCTGAGGGTTCAGATTAGTGTTTGTCTGAGGCGTCCTGACAGGCACAAGCCACTAAGCATTGCTATGGAAACCATTTTGTTATTCTCTGCTGTGTCGTTTGTTTTCTGGCACAGTTGCAGTTGTGGTACAGGGGGAAAGGCAGTGGATAAGGTGCCCAAGGATCAGAAACCTAGTGGGGCCTGTGTTCCTACAGGATTGTATGACCAAGGCTAATTCCTGCTTCTCCTTGGGTCTTGCAATCTCCAACTCTCAGGTAGAACACTATTTTTCAAATAGTGGCCCGATGACCATCTCAACAATCAGAGTCCTGATGCCCGTCCTATACCAACTGTCAGAATCTCCCTCAGAGCTCTGACGCACAACAGAGTTTGAGAACACTGCTGTAGGAGTTAGACTCGCTAAATTGTTTTCAATCTCCCAGTGCACAAAACAGGCAGCACTGAAGTTATGCTGACTGGAGCAGGGATGAAAGGCTCAGAGCCCTATCCACTCAGCCTCCCACTACCCCCAACTGGCTCCATGGAATCCTACAGCTTCCCAGAGCACAGTTTGGTAACCACTGGACAAAATGATTTCTAGAGGCTTCCCTAGAAGAGGAGTCAGCATTCATTCAATCATTCGTTTATTCACAAATATTCATTAGGTGCCTTCCTTCTTTACACCAAGTATTTGTTTGAAGTCAGTAGCTCCACTATTACCTAATCTCTCTTGGGCTCAGATTTCTCCTTTGCAAAATGGAAACATAGTATTTGTTTTCCCTACTTTACTGGATTCATCTAACAATCAAATAATCATGAGACCACCTAAGAAAAAGTTGTTTGTTACCTGGAAGAGACTCTGCAAATGCCAACAACTATTATCGTTACTGCCATTAGTGGTATATCTAACTATCTCAAGTCTACAGAACTAAGTTAAGTCCTCAGAGGCCTCAATGGACTGTTACTCTCCTACTCTCTGTAACTAAACTTCCAGAAGGTGTTGCAGGGTTTGGAGAACCATTGGTCTAAAAGCCTCCATCTAAAAAATATATTTTCTGAGGGCTAAGAATATCCCTGAATTTGATGTCTTCTAAATAGAACATTTCTCTATTATCCCAATTTACTTCCATGATCATATATTACTTTCATAACAAAAAAAGTTAGAAAAATGAAGACTGTTGAAAATACTGTCTGATGCACACAGTTCTCTGATACACTCTTTATCTAATGGTTTAAAATGAATTCAAATGAGATAATCAGGCAAGAGAAAATGCAAAATTTTCCCTTCCTGACAGCCACATGGCTCCACGGCAGTGCGGGGCTCAGTGTCAGACCTGGGCTCTAAATCTCGGCTCTGCCACTAACTCAACACGTGGTCTTGGGTGAGTCACTACCTCTCACAGGATCTCAGTCTCTGCACCTATAAACTGAAAGCACCAACTATGGTGATCCGCAAGGGCCCTCCCGGCTCTGACGGTTGATGCTCCAGACAATGAAGGTACTTTCCCAATATACCCAGGCTGTAATTCTACAGCCTATCTGGCTGTGCTGGGCATACAGCCATGCTGAGTTCACAGTGGCTCATGGAAACAGTGCTCCTCTCCCCAGTCACTCATGTGGAGTTTTAGACCTTCCAAAGCTCCATCAGCCCCACAACAACCCTGAAGCAAGAAGGTCAGGGAACAAGCACCTTGGGAAGAAAGGTGGCTCATTTCAGAGCTGCAAACTTGTAAGTGACAGGGTCATGACCAAAATCAAGGTATTTTGACTCCAAGCCTACCTAGTATTCTTTACCTCATTTGGATCATATCCTAAGAGAACTACAGACCCTAAAAGCTTCATGCGGTGGAAAGACCACCAGTGTTAGAATCAGAAGATGGGTGCAATCCCCTCTTCCTGCTCTCCTGTGTATGCTTCTGCACCAGCCACTCCCTATGACTGAGCCTCAGTGTCTTTCTCCATAACATGGGGCTATTGTTCTGACAATTCCAGTGCTGTGGGGAGGTTCATGGAAGAGTGAATGGAAAGCTTTTGTATGTTATAAAGTTAGATGTCAGTTACCATGAATACCATTTATTGGGCCCAAAGGTAGGGAGGAATCCATCCCATTTGTCCTTCAAGAAACCCAAAGCCCTGGGAAGTTTAAGTCCTGGGCCACAGGGCAGCTGGGTATGAAACCTGAATGAGCAAGTCACTTGACTTGCAAGCTGAGCTATACAAGACAGACTTTAAGCTTGGCCTGGCTCCCACCCTATGGAGACTAAACTGCAACAAAACTGAAAACACTGGACAGAAGTGTAGAGCCCAACAATATGGATGGTTCCTTCTTCCCATCATTCGCACATTCAACTAGTCAACAAACATTCCTCTAATATCAATTATAGATAGTGATGTCTGGGTACCTTATGTATGCAAGGAAAGAGAAGGAGGAAGGAGCAAAGATGAATATGATGGTCCATATATGGAAAATAACTAACATTTAATAATGAACATTTCCTGAGCTCTTACCATATATCAGGAACTATGCTGTACTATTTGTGTTATCTCATTTCACACCCACAATAAGCCAAGAGGGCAGGAATGTTCTGGATTACTATTTTACCCTTGAAGAAGCTGAGGCTTAGCTGAGGCTCAGGCTCAGCTGAAAACTAAGTGGTGGAACCAGTACTCAAACCAATGCCAGCCTGTTCAGATCCTAAATTTTTAACTTCTAGTTCCACAGCCTCTGTATTGCTGGGTGACCTTAGGCAAGCATCCTCCCATCTGAAATGTAGAGATTCAATTATTCTAATGGGCACAAGAAATATCACAAACAACCGTGACCCAAAAGAGAAAGGGAGAAACGCCCACTTGAAGTGAGGTGTGGCCATCACTTCCCATTCCTCAGGAGAGGAAAACATCAGATATAATCTGGGTGGCATGATGACAGAGTCAGGCTTTTGCCAGACAGGGCTCAAACCAGCAGGGTTCAGAGAGATATGGCTAATATCTGCCTGCCTTCAACAAGGTCTGTTCTCCCACCAAACCCAACTGTGTACCCCATCTACACACTCCATTTACCACCCCACCCCTGAGCCAGGCCTTTTGTTCACGCTGCCCCCACCTCCCCTTACTTCTTTCCTCCAGGAGGTCTCTTCTGATGCCGCATCTCTCTCCCAACAGAAAAGCTTTAACAACCACTCAAATACTATTTCATCAAGAAGCCCCCAACTTGATGGAATAGCATTTTCTTTAAGACCCTGGTCCTTGGTGAATGGTTCCCCTGTCTCCACAACTTGCTCTGCTTATAAGAGAAGAGTAGTGGTCCTTCTCCATCTGAATCTGTCACAGTAGCAGATGCCAGTAAGGTTGCCTGGAATGTCCGCACATGTGATGCTGCCATGGTAACAGCAGACCAAGGTTCGGAATGCTTTATCCCTGATGAGCTGCCCCGGCAGTGCCATGCCAGGCTGCTCACGGAATCTTCCTCGAAGAACAATAACAACAACAAAAATCACCAAAACCTATGCAACAACAACAACCCATTAATGGACAAGAAACTGCTGAGCACTGGTGCCAAGGTTCAGTTCCTATAAACATACTTTGGGCCACTCACCTGGTCCCTTAGCTGATAAGGAGGCCAGGCCTTGGCTGTGTGTACTGTGGCTCACCCAGAGGGTAATGTGGTTTTTAGCTGGCTGGGCCAATGAAGCAGGCCGTCCCCAACTCCAGCCCCCAAATTACCACTTCTCTTGTTTGATGCCGCCAACCAGGGATCTGCCAGCGTGGACCCTGGCAATTAGCACAGCACTCGCATTTGTTGGGGAATTAGGAGCCACTGATTACCCTAATTCCACGTCATTTACAGGCAATGAGTGTCAGCCTGGGATTGGCCTTTCCAAACGGTGGCCTACAGGGTGGCATGATCATGACTTGACTTTGAAATGGAAGCAGAGGCCTGGTAAGCCAGGCTGTGAACCAGGAGGGGAGGCAGGACTCACAGCTGAGCCTAGCTATATGGCAGCCATTGCCTCCCCCAGTCCTGCCCACTTAAGGGAAATGAAGACCAGAAGAAGGTGTTTCCAGATTGAGAACATGCCTATTTCTAAGTCATCCTGACCCAGGAAGGGAGCCCATTTCCTGTTGATAGCCCTGCTGACCCCCTAGAATGTGCAGCCACAAGATTAGTGTCCCCTAATCTGAGAGTTTCTGGGGGCTAAAGGCCTGAGTCAAACTCTCACTGACTGAGCAGGACCCTCACACTCAGATCTGCCCCCAGGATCCAATCACTTGCCACCAGGCCCCACCTCCAACATTGGAAATTACATTTCAATGTGAGATTTGGAGGGGACAAACATCCAAGCCATCTCACCCAATGATAATTACCTTTAGACTCTTGCTGTTAGATCTCTAGTCACAAATGGGCCCTCCAGGATAGTGACATTTCCAGGATAATATAGGCCCCTACACCTTGTATGATTGATCCCTATCTCAACCCAGCAGGGGCCAACTCTGTAGCTAGTATATTCCCTGTGTTTCTATCCTCTCCTGCCAGTTTGCTGTAAGAGGAGCCAATAGGCTTGTCTACACTTTATAGGGTCATGACCATGTGGAGCCAGCTAACTGAATACTTGTCCACTAGAGAACTTCTGGATCTCTCCAAAGGAATATATAGGTATTGGGGTTTGGCTGGACAAGTCCCAACAACTTCCCTAATTCAAACTGTAGCTTGCTTGAAAATCGGGGACTGAACCAGGTCTTTCCAGTCATTCATAAAATGTCTATTTTGTCTTACTTGGTAGATACCGTAAGGGATATAAAATGAACCATTCATGGCACCTGCTAGCAAGGAATAAACAGTCTAAGGGATCAGAAGAGACTTCCTGGAGGAAGAAGAAAAGTTAGGGGAGAGGGAAGAAAGAGCATCCTAAGTAGAAAGAACAGTGGGAACAAAGACCTAGCTGGGGGAAGGAGTGGCTTGCAAAGATAATGGTGGTAGTTCCACTTGGTGGAAGAAGAAGTGGTGCAAAACATAGCAGAAGGAAATAAATTTGGGATGATAGGTAGGGGGCATATGGCAGATGGCTCAAGAAATATAATCCTTAAAAAGCCTGACTAAAAATTTCGGATTTTATTTCATAGCCAATTGGAAGCCACTAAGGCTTTTGGACAACAGAGTAGCAGAATCAGATCTGTGCCTCAGAAGCAAAATCTGGCATAATAACAATCATCATTATTGTTCTTGCCATCATGACAGATCACATTTAGGATGCACTCACACAATGCCAGGCACTTTTCTAAACACTTAGACTGAGTGGGAAGGAAGGTCTACAGGGAGATCACTTGGAGGTGGAGGCAAAGTCTAAGAGGAAGAGGATGAACAAAGCCTGAGCTGTCTCAGTGGCAATGGGACATAGAAGAGGGCAGGATGGAGAGAAAGCAAGGAGGTGGGACCAAGAGGACTTGGCATCTGTGAAGCTGTGGGTACAGAGGGGTGAGAGGAGTCAGATAACCTTAGCCAGGAGACTAGGATGATGGAAGTCACAACTAGGTCTATGATATGTGATTCCTTGATTCATAGTCCTGGTAGATGAATCTAGAATCCAACCCCAAGGATATAGCCAAAATATTCCTTGTCACCCTGAGTTCAGGAAAACATCTGGGGAGGAACAGACCATGAATCAAGGGCGGCTGTCCCAGGAAGATTTATTCTCCCACACTGTGCCCTGCTCCTACCAACCTAGAACCTGCTGGTTGGAGTGAGAGAGAAAGGACCTGGAGAGAAGTAGCCTCTCTTTGCTTTGACAGTAGTGTCTTCTTGTTGGAGGTCTTCTGTCATGATATGCATCAGACTAGGGTCCCTATTTAGGGAGAATGCCCTGGTTTTAACCTAACTTATTTCTCTGTCCTTAGGTATCACTGGGGTGGCCCTGAGCCCCTGAGGATTAGGGCCCTCAGATGGAAGGCAAGAACTACCTGCTCTGATATTTCTCTCACTTCTTGTATCCCACACAAACCCTGTGCTCTGGTCAGGAGGGCTTCCCACACTCTGCCCTCAGCCTGGGATCCGTCTATGCTCATACCTCCCCATCCCGCAATCAGGAATGCCCTTATCCTGGGCTAATCCAAATCCTAGCCTTCAAGGCTCAGCTCAAGTCCTCCTTCCTCTAAAAAGTCTACAATAATCATGCCTACACTGAGCTACAGTGAAATTTCAGAGCTGCAAGGGAACTTACAGATCATTGGCCCAACCCTCAAAACTCTACCGAAGAGAAAACTGGGGCCTGGAGAAGACAGAATAAGGGCTATGCCTAGAACCCGAGTCCATAGCATTCCCTTGATGAGCTTCCCATGAACTTTGTAGTTCTTTATTTCACCTGTCCATGTCACAGATTGTGAGACTGTCTGTGAGGACAACGACTTCTGTATCTCTATATCCTTCACTGTGCTTAGCACCCTGGGTCACAGATGGCTTAGGAAATAGAATCCTTAATAGCCAAAGATTCAGGAAGGTAACAGGTCCTGAGGAAAAGCAGGATACAGGTGAAGAAAAAAAAAAACCACCACCAAAACCCTCCTTCCAGCAATTCTCCACTGTTCTGGGATGCAAGCCAAGCCTAGCCACTGGACTGGGGGTGAGAACAGAGATGATGCATTCAAAGGAGACTTTTACATCCGAAAGAGATTTCTGCATCCAATATCAGTGTTCTAGCCCAGAGCCTCTTGGGAGAGCAGTTTCCAGAGGCTGGCAGAAGGGGTCATGCTGAGGTCAGCCTCCAGCCTAGGGACACTGGTAATGGTGGTGGAAGCAGCTGAGAGAAAATTTTTCTTTTAAAGCTGAATCTTCAAATTTGGGGCACTAAAAGAACCCTCCAAGATCACCTAACCCAATTCCTAAATGTTTCAAATACGGAACCTGAGGTCTTGGTAAGGAAAGAGACTTGATCAAAGTCACACAATACATTAGGGTTACAGCCAGGACACAGTTCCATGTCTCTTGATCCCAACCCAGGGGTCTCTGCAAGACAACTTTTCTCAGCTGGGTCCCACATGGACATAGCCAGGAGAGCAGCTGGTAGGATTACATGGCTACCAAGGATTTCTACACTGCTTTTTAAATTGTCAAAACTCAATTGCCGATAGACTTGTGATGCAGGTTTAGAGAAAATAATGAGTTTGACTAAGGCTCCAAGCTGAGAAGTCACTTGCTTGAGATCATATCAAGCACAGATTTATCTAGTTCAAAAACCCGTTGTTTCCCATTGGCTCATGCTGCCAGACATGCTGCGTCTAGGCTCAGCATGGAAGAAGAAAGACAGGACAGACAGACATTCTGAGAGGTTTGACAAAGAATTCCATCAGATACACACTTCCTGGTCAAGTTCCTCCTTTGCCCCAGGCACTGTGCTGGGCGCTCCAGACGCAAAGAGGAAATACGATCCAGGAGTGGAGAGACTAAGTAGGTAACTTCCAGGGAGCTCCTAAATGAGCAGTTATAAAGATTGGAAGAGAAACAAATTCGGTCCTTCAAATTCTGAAAAGAATGAGGTTGAGGAACAGTAACAGACAGGGATGTTGTAACAGAACAGGCTGGCAGGGTCCACCACAGATGTATGTGCCACCAGCCAAAGCCATTTCTGTACTTGCAGAGCACAGCACAATGCCTGGCACATAAAAGACACTCAATGTAGACTTGCTGAGTCAATGCATGGATAAATGAAACTAGCATCGCAAAGGGAACTGAGGGGCAGTTCCAGTGCTTGCAGAGAAAGGGTCTGCCCACCAAATGTGGTCTTGCTCCACTCCATCTGTAGAAGGGGCAGGAGGCAGCTGGTGGGTCCAGAAATGCTGACAGAGAAGGACAGAGCTTCCAGCCCCAACCCACTTCTCCATGGCAACGAGCTGACAGAAAACTGCACAGGAGACTGAGAAACCAGTTTTAAAATAAAGACACAAAACACTCTCAGTCTAAAATCACACATGCAAAGCAACAGCTCCTGCCTCTCAGCCCCTTAGGAGGGGTAGGCACAATCACTAAGAAAAGTACCTCCTTCCAACCTGCCCATTTCTCTGCCAAGGGCCCATGGGCCTCCCCTCCTGCTGTATACTCTTCTAAGAGCTGCCAGGCAGAATTCCTCTTGCTTTGCAGTATATGCTTCAGGGCATTGCATCAAAACTGACAAGCAATGGTAAAGCTCCACCAGGGTTAGATCTGGCAGGTTCTGCAGCAAACAGGCTGTCTGCTGCTGGCTTCGTGTAGAACGGCAGTTCATAGCAGGGGTGGCTGTGGCACAGGGGCCAAGCAGGAAGAGCAGGACAGGGATCACTTTTCTCCATCCTCCTCATGTTCAATCCTGCTTCATCCTTCAGGGCTCAGCTGTATTTGCCTTCATCTCTCCAGGATGACTTAATTGTACCTTTGACTGTAAACCCAAAGCCCTCTGTTTACATTTCAAATACAAAACTTACCAGTCTACTTTTCATTATACTGCTTACTTATTCTGCCCCCAGTAGAGAGCCTGGCATATGATAAAGCCTCAATAAATGTTTTCTGAATTGAATCAACAGCATGAGAAAACATGTTAATTTGAGTAGCTGGAGACCAACCTCCTTCTGGTTTATGGGAGTCCACTCAGACTACCATTTCCCTCCAAAGCCTTAGGTGCTTAAGAGAGTGTGAAGGCAATGTCACCTCCTCTCCAACACTGGATCTGCTCACTACTTTTCTGCCAACACCACTGTGTGCTCTTCCCTATAGTTCCATGGACATCACCGTATTCAGAAGGGTATCCTAAAACAAGCTAGACTAAGGATCCTAGATTCAGTCCCAGCCTTATCACTTCCCATCTGTGTGAATTTAGACAAGTCATTTAATCTCTTTGAACTTTAGTGGCCTTGCTTGAAAAACAGAAGTACCAATTTCCATACCAGTATCCTGCCTACCTCACGAAGCTGGTGTGAGGACCAGAGATGATGAATGGTGAAAGTGCTCTGAAAGCAGTCAAGTGGTGTCTGTGCAATGATGAGGTGGAGTTTTATTTCCAGAATCTTATAAAAAGGTAGCTGAGGCCTAAGCTCATGAGGTGACTTGCTCATGATCATATGGGGAGACAGTGGCAAAACAGGGTTCCAGTCTTCTAATTCTTGGTCCAGGGTTCCTTTCACAACCTTTTGCTGCCTTAGAGATCCCATCTAGACATTCTTCAACTTTGGCAAAAGCAATTCCACATTCCATTAAAATGAGAAGCATTTTGGATCACCTGCAGAGTATAAATCTCTGCCATGGAATGGAGTCCAGCTCTCTACTTCCAGGCAGAATGCCACCTGAAACATTCTAGGCAGGGAGTTAACTCTGACTCCCCCACAAAAATCTTTCCTTACAGTCTCTCAGTCACTGCTAACTAACCTGTGCCAGAAAGGTCATCCTGGTAGCTAAAATATTCTTGCTGTGGCAGAGCCCACATCTTCTGATCAAACCTCAGAAACAAAAATAAAGAATGCAACACTGCAAATATTAGAGAAGCAGATTGAAAACAACTTGTACAGGATATACAGGAAAACTCATATGGCCTGGAGCACAGGCTTCAATGGAAAACCACTAAAGCTACCCTAGGGCTTGACTCAGGAAGTAGGGACACTGCTTCCCTGAGATGTGAAGTCAGCAGAAACAGATCTGAGAGAGTCAGGAGGGACACACAGACCGCACTGCTTAGGTTCTAACAGCTTGTGGGCCTACATGCCAGAGATAGCATTAAGTGAAACCTCTTCAGACCTCAGCAATGACTTTAAAAAGAAGGGAG